GTTGAAGCCTTGGTGCTGAGGGGTTTTGGGTCTTGACCCTACTAACCCCTAGATCGTAAATCCTAAACCCTAAACCCTTGTTGTTGGGGGCTGCGCTTTAAGTTGTAGGTCTTTACGGTTTTGAATTCGGGCCCTCGGTCGCTAAGCACGGGAGAGCTCCCGGGCAGTGTAGCTGGATCAGCCCCCCCCCCCCTCCCCCCCAATTGATACTAAATCCTAAACCCTAAACCCTAAGCCCTAAACCCTAAGAGGTACAGATACAGAAGTTGGGCTCATGTGCTGACAACTTCCCACCTGAAAGGGTCTCGGATGGGCTGCGGGGTTTGGAGGTTGAGGGTGCAGGATACGAAAGGCAAGAGGAAGTCTCTCACCCACGAAATACCTCCTCCTGCTTTTCGCGAAGCCGTAAGGACACGGCTGACGCCCCTGATGCAGCATACGACCTCATCGTCTCCACTGGGGTGATTGGAACGCATGTGGGGCCAGACGGCGTGAAGGAGCTGTTCGTTGAGCCCTCAGCCCTAACCCGGAACCTGAAACCCTAAACCTAGAACCCTAAACCCTAAACCCTAAACCCTAAACCCTAAACCCTAAACCCTAAACCCTAAACCCTAAACCCTAAACCCTAAACCCTGAACCCTAAGCCCGGAAATCCTGAACCCCAAACTCAGGTGAAAGTGCGCCTTGGGCCTTGAACTTTTTGAGGAGGTTTTTGGGGGTTCTGGGGGTTTGAGGAGGTTTGGTGGGGGCTTTCGGGTTGGAGGAGGTTTATTTGGTGTCAAGAGCCACTTTAGGGTGTTTTGTTTCGTCATGGGAGCTCATGCAGGGTACTTCAGGGGGACCTAGTTCCTCCTGTTCTGGGGAGTTTGAGACATAAAAACGATAAATCCTGTCTCCTATCACCTCAACCCTGAAATCATGAGCCCTCGAACCCCAAACCTTCAGCCCGAGCCCTGAGAAGCCAGAAAGTGTGCAGGACCTGATGTCGAAGGGGCGGGCGGGAGGCTCCATCCTCTTTACTTGCGCCCTGGCCCTGCCTTGCGTTCCGTTTGGGGAGCCTGATGCCCCGTGATGAAGGTCTATTCCTGAGTGAAGAGATATTGGATGATATTGGGCCCCCGGATTCTCCACCCTCTCCCTCCGTGCGTCTGATGAAGAGGGCAGCGCATGCAACCTGAAATGCTTCGTTTTCGGCCTCTTGATGATAGGGGCCTTCCAGGGTTTCGCAGGGCCTCGGAGGGGGGTCTGAGGGCCTGAGCACAAAACCCTGAACCCTAAACCCTAAACCTTAAACCTGAAACCCCCAAAGGGATTCATTTTTCAGAAGCCCTTCGTTGGCCTGAAACCCCCTATGAAGCCCATGGGACGATCCGAAGGTCCTGTTGGGGTTGAGGGTTCAGAGTCTGGGCTTTTTGCTCTATATATGTATATGTGTACATATGTATATATGTATATATGTATGTATGTATATATGCATATATGTATATGTGTATTTATGTATATATGTATATATGTATATATGCACATATATATATATATGTATATGTATATGTATCTGTATCTGTATATGTATATGTACATATATACATAAACATATTGTGTTTCTCTCTCTCTCTCTCTCTTATTTCTATTTTATCTTATTTTCATTATTATTTTTGCTCTCTCTCTCTCTCTCTCCCTCTGCAGCAATGAATACAAGTACATATGCATGAATAAATATAAATATAGATAAGGAAATAAATAAGTAAACATATATATATATACACACATATCAATATATTCATAGACCGTACCCTGCCCCAAGGCAAGCTTGACACCTACGAGCAGCTGGTCTGGGACGTCGTGGAGAGCGACCACCAGGGACGCAAATGGCAGCGGAGGGTTCTGCAAGGCCCTCTTTCCCTGAACCTTGGGTTTAGGGTTTAGGGTTTAGGGTTTAGGGTTTAGGGTTTAGGGTTAAGCCCGCCCCTGAGCCCCAAAACCCCAAACCCCAAAGTCGTAAAACGTCAGGGGCGTGGGGTTTTGGGTTTGGGGTCTGAAGCCCTCAACCCTGAACCCCAAGACCTCAACCTTAGAACCCCAAGATCTAAGCCCTTTTGACCTGAGCCCCTACACCCTACACCCTACACCCTAAACCCTAAACCCTAACCCTAAACCCTAAACCCTAAACCCTAAACCCTGAACCCCAAACCCCTAACCCTAAACCCTAAACCCTCAAACGACCAGCTCTCAGGAATCGGGACATGCCCGCCCAGCAGCATGTGATCGTGCAGTTGGCTTGTGAGCCTTCGGCCCAAGCTTAAGCCCTAAACACCCTAAACCCTAAACCCTAAACAACCCGAAGCCCGAAACCCAAGCAGAAAAGGGGCTCCTTTACCGCTGAAAAGCTCGGGCTCACTGCCGCTGCCTGGCCTTGTCGACCTCCCAGATGGTTGCTTGGGCCTTCTGAACCTGTCATGCAGGCCTTGAAACCCGAAACCCTTAACCCTGAACCCTGAACCCTAAACCCTAAACCCTAAGCCTTAAACCCTAGCAACCCTCAACCCTCAACCCCAAGCTCGTCGGAGCAGCGCGCTGCCACCCCGAGGGGGGATGGAAGCGGCTCCTGTAGCAAGGCTCCGGCACGCTGAGGGTTTGGCTTATAGTGTTTAGGGTTTAGGGTTTGGGGTTAGGGGTTAGGGTTGAGGTATTCGGGTTTAGGGTTTAGGTTTTAGGTATTCGAGTTTAGGGTTTCGGGCTTAGTGCGTATTGGGGTTTGGGGTTTAGGGTGTATTCGGGTTTGAGGGTGCACGAGGGTTTCGAGAGAGTGTTCCTGGAATGTTTACCGCCTTTTTGTTGGGTTTCATCTGGGTTTACAGGGTGAGTTCTAGGTCTTCGGGATTCAGGGGTTCATGTTTTTTTTTTTGTTTTCCCGGGTCCCTTTTAGGCTCAGCCCTAACCCCTAACCCCTAACCCCTAACCCCTAACCCCTAACCCCTAACCCCTAACCCCTAAACCCTAAACCCTAAACCCTAAACCCTAAACCCTAAACCCTAAACCCTAAACCCTAAACCCTAAACCCTAAACCCTAAACCCTAAACCCTAAACCCTAAACCCTAAACCTTAAACCCTACACCCTAAACCCTAAACCCTAAACCCTTGACCCTAAACTCTAAACCCTAAACTCATGTTTGCCGGGAGCCCCTCAGCCCTCATCCTGCTGGAGCCTCCTCGCAGACAGCAGTCTCAACTGCCTCGCGCTTCGCCTCCGGTGAAAACTAAAAGGGTTTAGGGTTTAGGGTTTAGGGTTTGGGATTTAGGGTTTCGGGTTTCGGCTTTCGGGGTTTAAGGTTTCGGGTTTAGGGTTTAGGGTTTAGGGGTTGGGTTTAGGGTTTAGGGTTTAGGGAGTTTAGGGCTCTAAAAAGTCTGAAGCCCTAAAACCGTTCAGCCCGAAAGCCCTTAGGCCAAGAAACCTAAAGCGCGAACGCCCTAAACGCCCTAAGGCCCTAAAAGCCCCAAAGCCCTAAAGCCCTAAAGCCCTCAACGCTACAACCCTGCAACCCTGCAACCCCCAAAACCCCAAAACCCCAAAAGCCCAAAACCCCAAAACCCCAAAACACCAAAACACCAAAAACCCCAACAGCCTAAAACCCCAAAGCCCTAAAACCCTAAGTCCATGCAGCCCCTAAAGCCCTGTCGATTTTTTCGGTTCTCGGGACCTCGGCCCCTTAAGTCCTTGGAACGTCTAGGTCTGAAAAAGAAGCCCTGAAGCCCTAAACCCCAAACTCTAAACCCTAAGCCCGAAACCCTAAAGCCCTAAGCCCTAAACCCTAAACCCCAAACCCTAAACCCTAAACCCTAAACCCTAAACCAGGGCTGAGAGGTTCGGACTCATGGCATGAGATTCAGCTGTTGGCCTTTTGTTTTGTTAGGCCCCAAAGAGTTGTTCTGAGTGGGGGTGCCTTGGGCCCGTTTGAAAGGCTTAGTGGTTGAGGGTGGCCTAGGGTTCAGCATGTAGGGTCTAGTTTTTAGGAGGGTGGTTTAGGTTGGTTTAGGGTTCAGGATTCAGGGTTCCGATTGTTTTAGGGTTCAGGATTTTCGGGGAGATCCAAGCCTGATGTGGGTTGGTGGTCTCTTTAAGTAGAGCCTCCTTTTTGTAGGGGTATTTCTTTCGGGGTTCTTATTGGGGTATGTAGGGGCTGTATTGAGGTATAAGGGTAACACATAAAGAGGCCACCGGGCTTTATAGCCCAAACCCCATAATCCCTTATCTGAAGCCTAAACCCTGGACCCTAAGCCCTTTCCCCCCAAGCCCAAAACCTAAACCCTGAGCCCCTCACCCCTAAACCCCTGACCCTAAACTCTAAGCCCGTAAACACCCGAAACTCTAAACCCTAAGCCGTTGAGGCCTAAACCCGAAGACCCTAAAACCCTGCACCCTCAACCCTCAACCCCCGAAGCTGCACGCCAGAAGAAAGGCTTTATGAACTTTTGCACCCCAAACTCCTTGGCTTCAAAGTCTAAACCCTGAACCCTGAACCCTAAACCCTAAACCCTAAACCCTACACCCTACACCCTACACCCTACGCCCTACGCCCTACGCCCTAAGCCCTGAACTTTCAACACTTCGGCAGCCATACGAGAGGCTGGAGCGGCAGCTCGCCTGCTAGGGATGCGCAGGGCCTTTTTCCGGGGTTACAGCCAGGTCCTGAGCGGTCCACAGGATGTGCCCAGAGGTGCAGGGCTTTAGGGCTTTTGGGCTTTTGGGCTTTGGGGCCCAAACTTTGGGGTTTTAGGGTTTTAGGGTTTTAGGGTTTTGGGTTATAGGGTTTAGGCGGGTTCAGGGTGTCACGTTGCACACCCAATATACACCCCTAAGAAGGGGTCCGATTTTCGCCCAAGAACCCTCGGGGTTTGGGCCTGACTCTTGGAAACCCTGAGCTCCAAGCCCTTCAGGTTTTAGGGTTTGGGGTTCAGGTTTTAGTATTTCGGGCTTTGGGCGAGACTCTCTACCTGCGGCCATGCCCCTCCACTTCGTGGAGGAGAAGTCCGTAGCTTGCCAGCAGCAGTGTTCGAGCCTATAGGGCGCAGGATCAAAGCCGTAGGGCTTTTGCTTTTTGGGGTTTGGGGGCTTTAGGCGCACGGTTGATGGTGTTCGGATTTCGGGGTTCCGGGGTGTTAGGTGATTTTATGGTTTGTGGGTTGTTTTAGGATCTAGCCAAATGAAACCTAAGCTGCTAAAACCCTTTAGGGTGAATCCTCGGGCTTGCCGGATTGAGCTAGGCTTTGGGGGATGTTGTCCTGGCAAATTAAAGGCCATGTCTCGCGTATTTTCAGCGGAATCTTCTCGAGAGCCCTGCCTTTGCGGGCTGGTTGTAGGGGCCTTTGACCCCCACCTTCTCCTAAACCCAAACCCTAACCCTGAACCCGAAACCTGAAACCCTAAAACCTAAACCCTAAAGCCTAAACCCTAAGCCCTATAAACCCTAAATGAAAGCCCCTAGCCTTCAGGCGGGCGAGGTCTACGTCGCCCTCAAAGGGAAACAGCTCGGAGACGAGGCCCTACACGGAAAGTTCGACGAGTTGAGAGCGTGACTTGGCTGAGCCCTAAACCCTAAACCCTAAACCCTAAACCCTGAACCCTAAACCCTAAACCCTAAACCCTAAACCCTAAACCCTAAACCCTAAACCCTAAACCCTAAACCCTAAACCCTAAACCCTAAACCCTAAACCCATCCCTAAGCCCTAAACCGTAAGCCCTGAACCCCAAACATGAAGCCCCAAACAGTAAGCTTAGAATCCTCTAAGACCTTAAAACCCTAAACCCTAAACCCTAAACCCTAAACCCTAAACCCTAAACCCTAAACCCTAAACCTTCAACCCTCAACCCTAAACCCTAGAAATCCTTGAACATCCTTGAGCCCTCCGGATGGCTTCCACTGTTTGGGAGTGCCCAGCTGAAAGTTTCATCATCAGAGTTTAGGGTTTAGGGTTCAGGGTTTAGGGTTTTTAGGGTTTAGGGTTTCAGGGTTTAGGGTTTTTAGGGTTTAGGGTTTTTAGGGTTTAGGGTTTAGGGTTTAGGGTTCAGGGTTTAGGGTTCAGGGTTTGGGGTTTGGGGTGTTGATCTGATCGGAAGACATAGTCAGGTGGGGAGTTTGGCCAGGGGGCTAAACCCCAAACTTCAGACCCCGGAAACCCGAACCGCCCCAGGTACTTGTCAGAGAGAGCCCTAAACTAAACCGTAAACCCTAGACCCTAAACCCTAAACCCTAAACTCAGGGCCTAGGCCACCCCCTACGTTGGGGGGCGGCGCTTAAGCCCTTTGACCTCGATGGCACAAGCCGACCCAGGTCGCTCGCCCGCCTCCCACAGCATGGGGGTCGGTAGCGCCCACGATGGGCCCGGTACCGGAACACGTTCTTTTTGGGGACCAGTACTGGTCCCTTATAATTCAGTGCTTACCCTAAACCCTCCAGTCATGACCCTGAGGGTCCCTGACCTTTTCAGAGGGGTAATTTCAGGGCCGAGGAAAAGGCAAGGGCGGGCAACTCGATTTTTTTTGTCCAGCCCGGGCCTGACCCCTGCTCAGGGGTTCTGGCCCCTGGCGCCTGCCCCTCCTGAATCAGTTTTTAGAAGTGGACTGTTGCCTAAATTTAGGCTTAAACCCTAAAAGGAATAGGTCTGGGTGGCTTTGCCGCCTCGCACGGCGTGGGGTGGGAGAAAAGTGTTAGAGGCCCTCCACAATCGGGCCAAGCTGCTCTTCGCACCTCACGAAGCTTTCGAGCTTGTTCCGAAACCTAACCTTCACAGCACCTACGGCCTATCACAGCAAACCCTAAACCCTAAACCCTAAACCCTAAACCCTAAACCCTAAACCCTAAACCCTAAACCCGAAGGTACTTGTCAGAGAGAGCCGACAAGCCCTGGCTGGACATCGACCTATCCAACAATCCGTGGGTCACAGACGTGGGCATCAGGCCAACGGCCCCCCCCCCCAAGCCCTAAACCCTACACCCTACACCCTACACCCTAAACCCTAAACCCTAAACCCTAATCCCTGAACCCTTAACCCTGAACCCTGAACCCGACACCCTGAACCCTGAACCCTACACGCTTTCGCTGGCAGGTCCTTTGCTCTGCCTTTTCTGGTAGAGTATGGATGGGTGCTGAGGCCTGCTGCAGACGCACTTCCGGTTGGAGCTGTGGGGTTCGAAGAGAACTTCGGCCTTGACCCCAAAACCCTAAACCCTAAACCCCTAAACCCCTAAACCCCTAAACTCCTAAACCCTAAACCCTAAACCCTAAACCCTAAACCCTAAACCCTAAACCCTAAAACCGAAACCCTAAACCCTAAACCCTAAACCCTAAGCCCTAAACCCTAAACCCTAAACCCTAAGCCCTAAACCCTACAATCTGATTGAATAACTAGACCCCAAGCTCTTGAAGCCTTAAACCCGAAGCGTCTGGAGCCCTAAACGCCTGAAACCGCAAAACTAACAACCCTCAAAACCTTGACGATTAGGGGTTTTTGGGAGGGTTCTGGACTTAGGATTTAGCCTTTTTGGGTTTTGGGTTTTAGGGTTTTGGGTTGTGGGAGCTTTTAGGGTTAGACTTTAGGAGCTAGTGGTCCTAGACCTGGGATTAGGGTTGGCTCCCAAACTCTAAAGCCACGAGGCTGCGCCTCTTCGGCACAGCGATCGGCGCCTTGTCTTTAAGTTAGGCCCTGAGGCGTCTTTGTGGAAGATCCAGGAGTTGAGGATCTTAAGGGTTTAGGGTTAGGCCCTAGACCCCAAACCCTAAACCCTAAACCCCAAACCCTAAACCCTAAACCCTAAACGCTGCACCCTAAACACCCAAAACTCCACGCAGAGGCGGCCCTGGGCTGCGGTGTCT